TGCTGCTTGAGCCGGCTAATGCTTTACTCTCCAGATCCCAATCCCGTCCAACTTTCAGTGTGTGTTTGTGTGACTCACTCCCTACCTGGGTTGGATTCAGGAAGAAAAATCCCTCTCAGCGGGCCAGAACCAAAGTGCTCAGAAAGCAGGTCACGGCTTTGGCTGTGGCTCCCTGCCAAGGCTGTGATGGAGGAGATACCTTGGGACTTTCCTGGGCATGACCTGCCCCTGGGGTGCAGAGGGTGATGGGGTGGGTGTTGGAGCCAGCAGCTTTAGCATCCCTGTGCTGCCGGGCTGGGGAGGGTGGGCGTGGCTCCTGTCGAGTGTATTGCTCCAGAATCAGGCAGGGGAGGGCAGGCTGGGTGACAGGACCAGCCGGAGGTGGAGCGTCTGCATCACTGGGCTTTGTTGTGTTTGCTTGACCAGAGGTGAGGCTGTCCTGGAACCCTATGGCGGTGGCTTCTAGGCTTTACCAGGAAGCCACCTTTTCCCCCTCAACCCTTTAAATTTTTTTGGGGGGCCCGGCGCGGTGGCGCAGTGGTTAAGGTCCTTGCCTTGCACGCCCGGGATCCCATATGGGTGCCGGTTCTATCCCTGCAGCCCCGCTTCCCTTCCAGCTCCCCGCCGGTGGCCCAGGAAAGCAGTCAAAGACGGCCCAAAGCTTTGGGACCCTGCACCCGCGTGGGAGACCCAGAAGAGGCTCCTGGCTTTGGATTGGCATAGTATCGGCCGTTGCGCTCACTTGGGGAGTGAATCATCAGATGGAAGATCTTCCTCTCTGTCTCTCCTCTCTGTATATCTGCCTTTCCAATATAAATCTTAATTTTTTTTTTTAATTTTTTACTTGCAAGTCAGAATTACAGAGAGAGCAGGGAGAAGACACAGAGAGATCTTTTATCTGCTGGTTCACACCCCAAATGGCTGTCACAGCTAGGGCTGAGCCGGTCTGAAGCTAGGAGCTTCTTTTGGGTCTCCCATGGGTGCAGGGGCCCAAGCATTTGAGCCATCATCCTCTGTGGCTGTTGCTCTCTCCGCCGTGTGCTCTGCTGTGGATGCGGTTGGACTGGGCCCCGGGATGCACCTGGCCCCCAGGGTCAGTGTTGGCAGTGCTATAGCTTGGTTCACTTCTGATTTCTGTGCCTTGTGGCAGTAACGCAGCCACGTGTGCCCTCGGCAAGTGGCCGGGGCCATGCTCTTGAATTCCCCAGAGGTGTGAGCTCGGTAAACTTCTTTTCTTTATGAAGAACAGAACTTCACTGTTGGACTAATATTCTGTGCCAGATTTATGAATTGAACTTCATCATAGGTATGTATATATAGCATTGGCAAAAAACACTGTGTGCACTTTCTGGGGTTCTGTCCTCTCTGTAGTTCCGAGCATCCACAGGGTCTGTGGAGCATAGCCCGTGCAGGTGAGGTGGCTCTTACGCCGCTGTTGGTAGGTGCTGAGCTCTGCTGAGCCCCAGCAGACACTCAATCACTGGGTCTAATGTAGTCCTCATCCTATGAAAAGACATGCCCTGCATCTGGGCCCATTGTACAGATAAGACAAGTGAAGTCACAGAACAAGCCAGTGGGCGCACCAGGATTTGGACTTAGACAGTGTGGACTCCAGCCTGTGCATCCAGCCGTGGTGATGCGCTGTTAAGAATATGAACTTGGAGCCAGCACAATAGCTCAACTGGCTAATTTTCCAGCAGCACATGCTGGCATCTTTTATGGGTGCTGGTTCATGTCCTGGCTGCTCCATTTCTGATCCAGCTCCCCTCAGATGGCCTGGAGAGCAGCAGAGAGCAGCCCAAACACTTGGACCCTGGCAGCCACATTGGAGACCCAGAAGAAGCTTCTGGCTCCTGGCTTTGGCAGCCTTGGCTGTTGCTACCATTTGGGGAGTAAACCAGAAGATGAAGTTCTCTCTGTCTCTTTTCTTCTTCCTCTCCCTCTGTAATTCTGCCTTGCAGTTGGATAAATAAATCTTTTGCAAAAGAGAAAATACCAAGGCTTCTTGAGGAAGAACTGACTCTAGACCACTTTTAGACCCAAGACTGAAATCAGCTTTTCTAAAAGTCTCTCTAGCTTCTACAGTTCCTTCAAATAGAAATTTCTCTTACCTCTTTCTGCCCTGTTTACCTGTCTAGGTATGCACACACACACACACACACACACACACACCCTTCTATCTCACACATGTGTGTTTACACACTCCTCCATTGGTTCTGTTTCTCCGGACGACCCCAACCAACAGTGGGGTCAGGATGGAAGGGTGGGGACATTGGGAAAGGAGTTACTGGAAATAGCAGTGATGGGCACAGGTCGTCTGATGTGACTCTAAGGCCAGACAGGACTGGGCGGGAGGGGGTTTGGTGTGAGGCTGAGGTCTCTGTGTTGGATGTTGGGTCTGAGTGCTCCCCAGGCCATCCTGTGGTGTAGGATGGCTGATCTGGCTGATGGGAATTCACTAGAGATGTGGGGGAGGTGGATTTTAGGCAGGATGGTCCTGCAGAGTGGGAGCTGGCTTCAAGTGGGAAGTGAAGAGTTGCAGCAACCCTCCCCACTCCCAGCACTGGGCAGAAGGCCAACTTTGGGCAGGGGCACAAGGGCAAGGGGAAGGTTAGTGCCTCAGGTGTGAGATGGGATGTTCAACCTTGGCAGGGGGTACCATCCACAGAAAATGGGCAGGAGGAAGCCCAGGCTAGTGGGCAGGGTGTTGGGTGCTTTTTGGGTACAGTACTCCTTTTTTTGGGCAGTCCTGGGAATGCTGCAGCAGCCCTTGGAATTGTCAGCTAGGTACTGCTCAGATAGGCAGGGGAGGGAGCCGGGAGCTGCTTGACCTATGTGACCTTGGGATGGGAGAGGTGCATCTGCGAAGAGACAACATTGCATGTAAAATGAAACAGAACTTACTTATTTTTACTTGAAAGACAGACAGAAGCAGATCTTCCATCTCCTAGTTCACTCCTCAAATAAGTACCCACAATAGCCAGGGTTGGACTGGGCCGAAGCTGGGAGTGAGGACCCAGGTTTCCCTGCAGGTGGGAGGGGACTCCAGCTTGAGGTCCTTGAGCTGTGGCTGCTGCTTTCCAGGGTTCTCAGCAGCAGGGATCGGAGCCAGGGCTGGAACGGAGGCTCTGTCCATTATGGGACACAGACTCAAAACTGCTGTGCCAAATGGGTGCCCCCAGCCCACTGCCCCATGGGCACATGTGGCAGTCCATATATTGGTTGCTTTTCCTCAATCCTAGGTTAAGACACCCCCACAGGAGGGGGCGGGAAGCCCAAGGTGTTTGGCACTTTTTTGATGTATGTGTGTTTTCAAAAGACCGTTCAATTGTAAGCTATACATAAATATTAAGATACTTGGACCTTACTCTGCTAGGTAAACGATTCCTCTCCCCCTCACCAAAGAGATGCCCTGTGAATGGAATAACTGTTAATCCCTACGGTGGATTATTCTAGGCCTGAAGTGCAGGTTGTAATGCGAGGCTTGGGAAGGTGGGGAGAGAGGGAAGGGCATGGGGGCTGTGTCTGAGCAGTTTTATTTCTGCCAAAAAATTGCAAGTGTGAAGCAAATAAGGTAAAATGTAAGCATTTGTCAAATCCAGGTGGCAGGCACGTAGATGTCTCATTTTCTCTCTCTCTCCGTATGTTTGAAGTGCTTTGCAATTAAAAGAATTTTAGGAAAGTGAGACTAGAGGAGGCTGGGATGCAGATGTAGAGGTGGGGTGGTGTGTGTGTATGTGTGTGTGTTTGTGCATGTGCTGTGTTTGGGACAATGACAAAGGAGCCTGCGAGCCTGCGAGCCTGGGAAGGGGGCATCTGAGGTAGACAGAGCCCTTGTGGGTGGGGACCCAGGAGTTAGTTCCAAGCTGTGGCTCTCAGCTTTGGGTGAGACTTTTCAGAGCCTGCTTGGAACCCAGCTGCCAGAAAATTGCAGAGTATTGGGGTGGGGAAAGCCTGGGCTGGCTCCAGGAGTGTTAGTCACTGGGGGCATGTAAGACATGGCAGTGGCTCAGGCTGCCCACCCCACCCATGGACTCCCAGCATCTCACCCAGGGCTCCTGCTTGGGCTTCTCTATGAGCTGAGTTTCAAGGAGTTGTTTCCTGTGACGATGGCGATTCTGCTCCAGCAGGCTGGGAGTTGGGGCCTGGGAGTCTGCATTTCTACCAAGCTTCTGGGGATCCGAGGCTGCCCCTGGAACCCCCTTGGAGTAGCCAGTTGTTCAGTGAGGCCAAGGAGGTGGTTGTGACCAGGACCACCAGAAACATGCTCTGGGCCGCCTCCCCCTAGTTGGCATGCCTTAGGGTGTGGGGCTGGGGTGGCAGCAGGAAGCTGGCATTTTCTTTGTGTGGGGTAAGCACTGCTCCCATCTAATGTTATGTAAAACAAATTACCCCAAAACCTGGTAGCTCTGGCATCTGCTCCAACGCCCTGCCAGGCTGCTTCTCTTCTAGGAGAAACACTTGCAGCATACACTGCCCGGGTTAAGGATCTGAGGCTATGGACCAGGTTGCCCCACAGCTTACAGGCCAACAACCGTAATTGGGTGTCGTCTCGTTTCCGATTGTGCCATGTGACTTTGTCGGGCAGTTCTGACTCATGACACTCCCAAGGTAGAAACCAGGGTGTTGATGGGGCTGGAGGTCTGCTTCCCTGTGGGCACAGTATCGTGTGGCAGCTGGCTGTCCCCAAGAGAATAAAGCAGAAGCCACAGGTTTCCTCTGACCTGTTTGTGGGTCGCACAGCTGCATTTCTGTCATTTCCCATAGGCTAGCCCGGTTGGCTTTGTCCCTGTGGGAGGGCACCTCGCCATGCTGTGGTGTCAGAGACTGTATACCAGATTCCTGATTGACTTTGCAAAATTTATTTATTTGAAAGAGTTACAGAGAAAAGGAGAAGCACAACTAGATGGAGAGAGAGAGAGAGATATCTTGCATCCATTGGTTTACTCCTCAGACGGCTGTAATGGCTGGGGCTGCGGCAGGCTGAGTTCAGGAACCAGGAGCTCCTTGCAGGTCTCCCATGTAACAGGAGCCCAACCACCTGGGCCACCCTTCACCATGAGCAGGGAGCTGTGTCGGAGCTGGAATGGGATGCTGGTGTCACAGGAGGCGGGGTTACCCACTGTGTGCCAAAGCTGTCCCCCACTTACTGTTTTTAACTAGGCAAATAAATGCAGTGCTTGAAGATGCCACCTGTAAGCTCGTGACTCAGAGAAATGTTCCGTTAACATGTGGTTTATGTTCTGCCGATCTGGACAAGAATGTAAGTTTTAGAGTCTTAAACTTGTTTATTTATTTTTATCTGCTTAAAAGGCAGAGAGAGAGAGAGAGAGAGAGAGAGAGAGTCTGTCTTTTATTTGCTGGCTCATTCCTTGGTGTTTACAAAAGTTGGAAGGCCTGGCCCAGGCCACAGCCAGGTCCCTCTGGGTCTGCCACGTGGGTGACAGAGCCTAAGCCACTTGAGCCATCATCCGTACCTTTTCAGCTATGTTAGCAGGAAGTGGGTTCAGAAGATGAGTGGGTGGGACTCAAACTCGTGTTCCAATATGGTGCGCAGACACGCCGAGTGGCAGCTTCAGCTGCTGCGTACACCTGCCCAGGAACGTGCACTCTATCTACCAGTACACACAGACCCTCCAAGGAAGTGGCAGCACACAGAAGTGCTGGTCTTGTTCTTTATGCTTGCCATTTTTTTCTTTTGATTGGAAAGTCAGATTTAGAGAGAGAAAGAGACAGAGAGAAAGATCTTCCATCTGCTGGGTCACTCCCCAAATGGCCGCAACAGCTGGAATTCAGCTGATCTGAAGCCAGGAGCCAGGAGCTTCTTCAGGGTCTCCCACAGGGTGTAAGGTCCCAAGGCTTTGAGCTGTCCTTGACTGCTTTCCCAGGCCACAAGCAGGGAGCTAGATAGGAAGTGGAGCTGCCAGAATATGAACTGGCACCCATCTGGGGTCCCAGCACATGCAAGGTGAGGATTTAGACACTAGGCTACTGCTCCGGGACCTTAAGAAGCACTTTCAGCAGGTGAGGTATAGTTAGTTGTCTTTCACTTTTCCAGCTTTGTTAGCACAAAGTTGACATTTCGCACCGGTTGAATTAGTTGGATTTTCAAGTTTCCATGGACAAAGATGGATGGGGAGATTCTTAATTTGGGTCATCTGCTCTTTGCGTGACTGCATGATGTAATAAACAGGCTCAAATCTTCAAATATGGAATTTGATTGTAGAAATAAAGCATGAGTTTGCCAGCTGCTCCAACATCCTGCCTGACATTGCCTCGACTCTGGCTGCTTGGCATGAGCTGTTGGCACTTGTTATAATTAGCTTCGCGGCTGTTTTGGATTAGTGGCAAGTGTGGGACCTGAGAGATCCCACTTAATGAAACTAATTTGTATTGAGAAATATAATCACATTTAGTACCCCATTATTGTGTGCATGTTAATGGATAGTAAAAATGAACCTTTAAGCCGAGGCTTATGTAAACTCTAGCTGGAAAATGATCTTTTAAGAAGCCAGCCCGTTGGGTCAGGCATCATGGTGCAGCGGGTTAGGCTACCACCTGGGCATGTGCGTTCTGGATCAGGGCGTCGGTTTGAGTCCCAGCTACTCTGCTTCCGATCTGGCTTCCTGCGGATGTGCATGGCAGGCCAGCACGTGCTGGCCCAAGTACACTCAATATGGGAGACCAGAATGGGTTTTATGAGTACTGGGGTTTGTGAGCATTTGGTGGGTGAACCAGTGAGTGGGAGGGCTGTCTTTGTCTCTCTCCTCTCATTCCCTTCAAATGAATGAATAAACCTTTTTTTTTTTTTTAAAAAAAATATGGTCTCTTTGAAGTAGTTTTTGGAGTGCTTTTTTTTTTTTTAAATGGGGAGCTTTAGGAATCATTTCAAAAACAAAAATAGAAAATTTTTAAGTTAAAATTTTTTTTTTTTTACAAAATTTATTTTTTATAATGATTACATGGTGGATCAGGGTGGGAAGGATCAAGGTTTAGGGGAAATTGAGTGTACTCATTGCTTCCAAATTTGTTATTTCTTGTTATTTCTGGAGGAAGGGGAGAGACAAAGGGGGGAATTACTCATGACTTTCCACACGTCCCAGTACCCAGGGATGAGGAACCGCCACCTCCTATCAACCCGGGGCCCATAAATAAAGGACTCTGCCAGTTTGTGCTTGGGCACTGTGCATCTTTTTTTGTCTGTTTCCCTGCTATTTCACCCTATGGAGAATGTCCTGTACTGTGAAAACCTTTAGGGAAGTTTTTCTTGGTAACTTGATAGCTGCCAGCTCTGTCCAGGGGGTCACAGGGATGTGTGCCCTTAAAGACTAACTCCTGTGCACTCGGCAGCCACAGCCGATCCTGTCGGTGAACTCACACGTGGGATCAATACGTGTCGTGCTGGGTGCCCATGCCACGCGCCCTAGCAGCCTGCAAGGGCAGAGCTGGAGTTGGATGGACCAGAGATGTGGGCATGGGGACCTCTGAGCAGATACCTGTGAATGTTAGCACAGGTTCCTTACCAAAGTAAGTGATGCTCCAGGAGACGTGGACCTGTGACCAGCACCTTGCCCGGGGCTCCACCCGGTGGGCTCTCTCTCCAGAGAGCTGCTGGTGAAAGACCTGGCTCCTGGCTCTCCTAGAAGCCTCCTGCAGGGCTGGCCGCAGCCCCCAAGCCTGTCACTCATCACTGTGGCCCTCCCCTTCCTGTATCTTCCAGCCCAGCGTCCCCTTGCTTGCTCCGCATTTACCGTAGACACATGAACGCTTACATCCATGTGAGAAACTGAGTGTTTAACTACTCCTGCCTCTGCTCTCTAAGGCCTCTGTCCTCCCTAACTCCCCTCCAGCCCCCCGCCCCTTGAAAGTTCACTGCTCAGAAACTTTTTCCCCCTCGGCAGCAAGGCCAAGGAGACACTCCACGAGCTGGGAGAGGGGTACTGCTCCGTCCTCTAGTCTTTCTTTTCTTTGCTGTCTTGTGAGCTGAATCGGGACTGCCCTGGGATGGGGGAAGCTGCGGTCATCTTTTCTGTTTGGATAGATTGGGGACAGGTGTGGAGGAGTGCTGTGAGGAAGCGAAAGGCGCACAGGTGTGCCACTGGGGAGCAGTCGGGGCAGATAACACACTAAAGGCGTGGTGGCCAGCATGGCCCTTGGCACTGTTAAGGTTAAAATGTAAGCATCGGGTACAAAGCTTCAGACAAAGGTGGATTGTTTTTGAGTGCTGGTGGCTGCCAGGAGCCCATCCTACGGGAATACACGGGACTTTCACACTTGATGCTGTGGGAAGGACAGCATGAACCCCGATGCTAGCATTTGCATAAACGCAGAGTGGAAGTGGCAGGGTTTTTTTGGGGGGAGGGAAGAAGTCTCTTTTTGAAAGTTCCTCAAGGTGAAAGTGAAGGCTGGTGTCGGACCACTGTGGGTAAGTGGCAGGACGTAAGGAAGCTGACCACACATTCCCCCGGGACCCAGAAACTCCCGTTGTACGTAAACATCAGCAGGAACGTGCTCACGAAGCCGTGCGACACAGGTGATTGTACTCACCGGTGGTGTGGTTCCTAGCAGCCCCTTGCAGGAATGCACCCCGCACCGTAACAGGCACATCGGGCGATGGTCACAAGACTGAATGTTCCACAGCAATGAATATACAGAAATAGAAAATATACAGAAATTCATCCCCACAGAGCGGTGGGGGTGAATGCCAAAGTCCAAAAGGTGTTGGGAGAGGGGGGACAGAGAGAACAATATGTATTTTATTTTTTGTAAAGATTTCAAAGATTTTATTTGACGCAGTTATAAGGGAGATGGGGGAGAGTGAGAGATCTTCCATTTACTGGTTCACTTCCACAAAGTACAACAGCTGGAGCTGGGCTGGTCCGAAGCTAGGAGCCAGGAACTTCTTTGGGGTATACCTTGTGGGTGCAGGGTCACAAGGCTTTGGGCCGTCCTCTGCTGCTTTCCCAGGCCACAAGCAGGGGGCTGGATGGAAAGTGGAGCAGCCAGGACTTGAACTGGAGCCTGTGGGATGCTGACATGCAGGTGGCTGCTGCGCCTTGGCTCGGCCATCCCTGAGAGAGGGATCATGCTGGTGGCGTAGGGTCAGCAGTGGGGGTCAGTGGTGACACCACAGAAATCAGCCAACACCCCAGATCTGGGGGAGTTCCCCTTCTGGAAGAGATCCAATTGGGGTAGATGTGTTGCAAGTCATGCCTTCTAGTCTCTACGTAGTCTTTCCTGCTTTTGGCGTGTTTTGAGGAGTTTTTCATCTTCCTTTAGATCGTGGTGTCGGATTCTCCCTTTGTGGTTAGAGCACATGTGTCCAATTGAGGTGACCAGTGAAGGCCTCACAGTGTTGAAATCGCGCCTCTGCCTGCCACGGCCCTGACACATAACTGGTTAGAAAGGCGGATCACGTGGAACTGGCTTGGCGGTGTGCCACGCTAATCCTCCACCAGCAGTGCCAGCATCCCATGTGGGCACTGGTTCGTGTTCCGGCTGCTCCATTTCTGATCCTGCTCCCTGCCTGTGGCCTGGGAAAGCAGCAGAGGACGGCCCAAATCCTTGGGACCCTGCACCCACGTGGGAGACCCAGAAGAAACTTCTAGCTTCAGACAGCTCAGCTCTAGCAGTTGTGGCCATTTGGGGAGTGAGCCAGTAGATGGAAGACCTTCTCTGTCTCTCTGTAAATCTGCCTCTCAAAAACGAACACCATCTTTCAAAAGGGCGGATCCCAAGTCTAAGTGGGGGCTTGAGTTCTGTTTACTCGTAGTGGTGGCAGGTGCCTTCTTCGGGGCTGCCTGTCTTCCACTTGTCACAGAGGCCCCTGGTGGGTGTCGTAGCCCTCTGACTGTCCCCCTTACTCCTGCCTGCACTTGCCCTTCCCACCTTGGGCTTCCTGCCCCTGCTGGCTGCTCTCTGTAACTGTTACAGTCCTGTGTCCCCCTGGGCAGCCCAGCCCACCTCCAGTGCTTTGCCGCTTGCCCATCCTGGGTTGTAATGTCTCCCCCACTCTCCCATAAGGTGAAGCCCACGCTGGGTGACTGTCCCTGCCGGTGCCTGTAACAGGCGTGCAGGGAATGCTCAGGGCGAGGTCTCAGTGCGCTGCTGGCCTGTTGGCGTGCCTGTTTGGGTGGCCATCCTTGTGTGCCTGTCCTCCGGGGTTGCCTGGTCCCAGCACTCGGGGGTCTCACCGTGCCTTGTGTTCCGTCTACCCAGCAGGTGCCCGCTTAGCCTGTGTGCCTCTCAGCTCCTCTCTGTGCAGAGCCATGGTGTGTTTTACAAGTCGCCAGGCCATGCATTTTGCACATAAATCACATCCGCTCTGACCCTTTGGACGTTAATGCTTGCTGATGAAGGCGAAGGGAAGCCTTCCTGTTCCTCTGTTCTTTCAGAGCACAACCTGGCCATCGGGGCACCACCCTTCTCCTCCCTCCGCCCCGCCCCCTGTGCCCTCGCTGCTCCTGAGGGAGTGCACTGAGCAAAGGGAAGTTCTTCTCTCTGCAAGGAAGTGACCACCAGGTTGCTGTGCATATGATACCCTTGGCCATTTAGTATTTCTGGCAACCGTGCTGTGATGGCAACACTGGGATGCCCAGGGCGGGGTGGGGAGTGGTCAGGCTGGTGACCCTGTTGCTGCTGTTTGGAGGGGAGGGATGACAAGTCACTTGGATGTTGCTCTGCCTGGGGGTGCAGAGGTCTGTCTCGCCAGCCCTGGTCAGGACCGGACGGGGAGCCCACCTGAAGAAGCACCTGAAGCTAACGTTTCTGCATTCTCTGCACACTGCAGCCACAGAGCTCTGATATGTGAGCGTTTCTGCCTCCAGTGCCTCTGGCTCTGCTGTTAACATGCAGTCGGTTCTCATTTGGGCCTGGAATGACTGAGTGGCAGAGGATTGCTATTTCCTGTAGTTGGAGCTGAGAAAGAAGGAAAGGAGGAGGGCTGTTAGACGAGGCCCATCAAGACGCCGTCGTGAAGTCTCAGGTGATTCATGAATGAACGGTCCCTGCTATAAGTAATGATGTTGAGAAGCTGCTGGAGTTTGAAAATTTCTTTTTACTCCTTACTAACTCTGGAGAAAGGAATACCCCTTACTCTTTACTGATGGGCGTGGGTTGCCTTGCTAACTCACTTTTATAAAAGGTTGATTTGTTTTTACTCAGAAAGCAGGCTTAGAGAGAGAAGGACACATACAAAGAGAGAGAGAGAGATCTTCCATCTGCTGGCTCACTCCCTGAATGACTATAACAGCTGGAGCTAGGCTGGTCCAAAGCCAGGACCTTGGAGCTTCTTCAGGGCCTTGCATGTGGTTACAGGGGCCCAAGGATTTAGGTCTCTTTGCTTTAGCAGGGAGCTGGATGGGAAATGGAGCAGTTGGATCTCATACTGGTACCCCTTTGGGATATTGGCATTGCAGGCAGAGCTTTAACCTGTTATGCCACATTGCTGGCTCCCAAATCCCATTTTTAAAATACCATGCATACACATTATGTAAATGGTTCTAATGTGCTCTCATGGGGACCTAAAAGTACATAAATAGGCATGCTCTAGGTGCCAGGCAAATGTCCTGGTGAAGGCTGGGTGATACAGGCTGGCATGGGTGCTGAGATGGACATGTGCTGCCCTTATGCCCAGTGGGCCTCTGCTTGCTGTAGTGTTTAGAAGGCAAATTGCAGAACCTAGCTTCATGTTCTTCCCTTTTGTCCTTCTGGTGGGCAGCTGCCGTGATGGGGTGCGGACTGAACAAGCTGGAGAAGCGCGACGAGAAGCGGCCTGGGAATATCTACTCCACCCTGAAGAGGCCGCAGGTGGAAACCAAGATTGACGTGTCCTACGAGTACCGCTTCCTGGAGTTCACCACGCTCAGCGCTGGTGAGTGTGGGCCTTCCGTGCACCCCTCCACCTCTCCCCATGCCCCGGTGGACAGGTGGCTGGGGGGAAGCTGCTGCAGAGTGGACCAGTTTACAGGGGATGCCTGCATGAATCCAGACTTTGCTGTGGCCTCTGGGTCTTTAAAGGGTAGCGACAAACTCAAGTGAGAATGCCGGCCACTGCTCACTGCGTCTTGTGCGTGTGTACTGCGCTAGCATATTGCACTCTATGAGCATAAGCAGAGTGCATATCCATTACAGACTGAATGATCACTGAGCAGGGCCGTGTCTCAGTCCAGCAGTCCACTGATTGAGTTGAAAGGGGCCCCCAAGCCAACGTGCCTGCGAACTGTTGGTAGCAAACCCAGTGGAAAGAGGCGGTTTGCCCTATCTCCTTGTGTGCACCTGCCAGCCACCAGTGCCTGCCCATTGTTCAACTGTCTTTCAGGAGGGTTTTTCTTCCTGGGCTTATTCTTGGCCTTGCCCTTCTGAGCCGGATGGGATGTCCTGGTCATCTGCCATGTGTAGTGTCCAACATCTCAGGGGACAGGTCATGGGGTGGCTGATGAGCAGTGATCTTCATCTGGATTAGCCGGAGCACTGGCTGAAATGCCCTACTGTGTGCAGCTGAGTGTTGCACTGTTCCAGGACAGGTTGCGGAACCTTCCTTGGCTTCTTGGTGCTTCGTGCCTGCCTGATGGGAGAGGGAGAGAGGACTCGTGCCCTGGAAAGAGGAGCTTAGTAGGTCGTAACACTTGGTTGGAAAAGCTGTGACATGTGGTTTTTGCAAGAGGAAGAATGCATTCTGCCTCCTCTCCTGGCGAGTGGAGAGTGCTGAGTGGGCACTGGGTCACTGGGTCATCTTCAGACCACTTGATCGCAGCTTCAGTGAGCAGAGAGGAGAATGCACTTGGGGAAGCCCCTGTGTTCATGGGTGGCAGCTGGGTCTGCTTGGGAGTCTCTGAGGGCCATCCCCGGGCCACTCAGCCTGTGGCATCTCCTGCTGTGAAGTGAGCAGATGCAAGTCCACCTCCTGGGGGGTGGTGAAGCCCTGGGCACCGTGGCTGGCACATGGAAGGGGCTGCTGGTGTCTCCCTCGTCGTCCTCACTGTTTTTATCTTCCTCATTTTTGTCGCTTCTCCACTTGTCCCAACGCTGTTGTCCTTGCAGCCACTCTGCCTGAGCTGAGGATCCACCTGCTACTAGCCCTGAGAGAGGTGGGCAGCTAGGGGTCTGCAGGGTCCCAAGCCATCAAGGCCCCAGCATCTTCCACATCAAGTCTCTTCCTCATTGGAAGTGCTTCTGACACAGATTATACAGCCCTAATTGGTGCGAGGATTCACCCCTGGCTTTGATGTGTTCCATGATTGCTTGGGTCCCCATGGCATGCTGGGTGTTGTGGAATGACTGTGGAAAACTCCAGAGTGTGTTTTGGGAAAAGGATGGATTGGAAGCAGGAGGAGGTGTTGAGTGCCATCTGTGGGGTGGTCCTCCTTCCTCTTAGGTAGTTTTGCATCGTGAGGATGTGTCTTTTGTTGCTGAGAAGAACGATGGTGCTGGTTGTAGAGTTCTGAACACACACACACACACACACACACACACACACACACACACATTTTCATGTCGACACTTGGGTTTCCTCCTTCCTCTCTTGTTCTCTGGCTCTCTGTGCTCCAGAGACAGCAATATCCACGCAGCATGTTAGCACTGTGCTGAATCGTTGTCAGCTTCCTGGTTGTAAGGGGGACATGTGAGCATTGCAGGAAAACACATCCCTGGCCTTTTTGGGTCTGGTTCCACGTGGGCAGGAGTGGCGCTGTTCTCACCCACTCTCCCACCATTTGTCTTTCATGGTCAGGTACTTCAGCCTTGTTGTTTCTCAGCATCTGCCACCCCAGGCTTCTGCTTGAGCATCCTCGCCAGGGAACTCCGTGGCTCATCGCTTGAAGTCTCTGCTTTCCCTGATCATCTATTTAAGTTTTCTGTTTACCCCCGCCTTGCCAGCTCCCAGCTCCCCATCTCTTTCCTTTCTGAATGTTCTCCAGAGCACTTTCTGCCATGTAAGGTGCCACATGATGTTGCTCATTGCAGCTATCTTCCTTCCTTCATTGAAAGGTAGCCCACCTTGGGGGTGGCATGGTGGTCCACTTGACTGGTCCTCTGCCTTCAAGTGCCAGCAACCCATGTGGGCACTGGTTCGTGTCCTGGCTACTCTACTTCCCACCCAGCTCCCTGCTTGTGGCCTGAGAAAGCAGTGGAAGACAGACTAAAGCTTTTGGACCCTGTGCCCGTGTGGGAGACCCAGAGGAGTTCCCTGGCTCCTTGCTTTGGATTGGCTCAAATGTCGACATTTGAGGAGTGAACCAGTGGATAGAAGATCTTTTGCTCTGTCTCTGCTTCTCTTTTTAAATCTGTCCTTCCAATAAAAAATTTTTAAAAATCCTAAATTAGGCAGCCTCTCTTCCTGCAAGTGCAGGGATTGTATTTGATTCTCAGCTGTGCCCTCAGTGCCCAAACAGTGCCTGGCGCTTAATAAACCATTGGGAAGTAGTTGTTGGACGAATAACCCACACGTGTGTTTGTTGCTGCTTCTCTGTGACTTGCTGGGCTCCAGCCTACGGCCTGGTTGTCTGTGTGCTCTGAAAACCTGATTTAATGGCTGTATATGATTTAATCACTTGGTGGACCGTAATTTATCCAGCGGTCCCCTTTTATTGAACATTTAAGTTATTTCGGGCTGTGGGCTATTATAAATAATGTTGTGATAAGCAATGTTGTACATAAATCTCTGTGCACATTTCTGACTATTTCCTCTGGAATTGCTGAGTTGAGGGATGTGAATGTCAGGACTGTTGATAAATTGCCACGTTGCCCTCGAGACAGGACCTGTTTGCGTGGAGCAAACGTTCGATCCTGCTCAGCTCCTGAGCGGGTTCCCCTGGAGAAATGAAGCAGGAGTTCTGGCCGGCGCCCAGAGCTCTCTGTTGCTCAGCCTTGAGTTGGCTCCGTCAGTCAGCCCCCTGGGGTACTAGGGATGATGGCTGTGGCGTTGCCTGCTGCCCCAGGCTCCTGTCCCTCCCTGCTTGCCCTGACCCCACCCTGCTGCAATGGTCTTTTCTGACAATTGTCTTATTAAAACTACTGTCTACTGCACGCCTGCAGTTTGTCAATCTTGGCTTTATGGCACTTTTGTTACATCACCTCGGTGTCTTCCTTCAGGGCAAAGAGCAAACCTTGTGCGCCTTTCTGTTCATCTTCCTTGCCCAAACCTGGCTGGAAAGAGCTAGAGCTGTCCCAAACAGCAGGATCCTGGGACACTTGAAAGTAGATGGTACACCTGCCAACTGGTCTCCCAGGTAGCCGCTCTAGGTTTTGCCCAGTGATTCCAATGGGATCATGTTTCGTTGTTCCAGAAGGCAGTAATACTGCGTGTCACTTTCTGTGCTAGGATTTCAACTCCTGAACTCATGTTTTTTTTCTTTTTACAGCTTTATTGAAAAATGAGTGGATAATTTTATATCAGCAGCATTCCAAGAGGGCACCTATTCATGTCCGGGCTGCCTTTCTTCCAATCCAGCTCCCTGTTGATGTACCTGGGAAAGCAGGGAAGGGTGTTTGGGCCTGTGACACTCACCTGGGAGAAGCAGGTGGAGCGCCTGACACCTGGCTGGGCCCAGAGCTGGCTGTTGGAGTCTCTGGGGGAGTGAGCCAGCAGATGGAACATTTTTCTCTCTCGTTCTGTCACTCCCCCTCCTCCTCTGACTTTCAGTAAATTCATTTTAGTATTTTTCAAAGATCTCTTTGTTTACTTGAAAGGGCATTATCAGAGGCCCTAGCTTAACCCACTCTACCGCAGTGCAGGCCCCTTAAATAATCTTATTTTTTCTGGAGAAGATGCTTCTCTGATGTGTAAGCAAACATAATTGGAGGAAAGTTTTTGGGTCACGTCCACCTGATGACATAGGCTTGAAGGTGACCACATGCGCTTCTGAGAACATCAGCATCAGAGTGAGCAGTTTTGTCTGGTACTTGAAGCTTGATGCCATCCTGGATGGTACTGGAGCATGTGGTCTCACTTGTAAGCTTGCCAGAGTAAAAAACAAAAAGCATCAGGAACCTCCCAGGGAGGCCCATAAGCTGCCAGAAGTTTCCATTTGGGGCACTTGGAGCAGCTCTTAAATTTCCAATTAAGTTTGGTCACCGAGGGCTGAACCTGCCCCTGATGGGTTTGGTCGCAGGTGGAGGCCCGTCAGGAGTCACATTATCCCTTTGAAGTGTGCGTTTTGCTAGTGTCTCTGTGTCAGACTGCTGTGAAGTCACCTTGTACTACCTGTGTCTGCTGTGAGAATTAGCTCTATTTTATGTTCAGTGCTGGGGACTGTTGGCTTAGTACCACAAGCCAACAGTGCCTGGGGTTTGGGCACTGCTTGAACACTCTGTCCAGGTCAGGTGCCACCAACCTATGAGATGTGATCGTTAATTAAAATTGAAACACTCCAGTTCCTTCCTTGCTAGGTCACATTTCAAGTGTTGATTAGGCTATGCAGAACTTACACATTCATGCAAGTGTCCTGCTTCCTGTTCAAGGGAGGAAAGCTTGGTTCCAGGTTGGTATCTGTGTCTAATTCAGGATAGTGTACTCCTGTACCATGCATGCATGCTCTGGGCTCATACACACATAGGAGGATGCTTCATTGATCCTGGAATGTTGCCTGCATGTCAGCTTTCACCAGGTGCTGCGTCCTGAGGGCTGCGGGGTGACCCGTCCGGGAGGCGTTCCTGGTTGCCTGAGTCTCCTGGCTGCTGTAATAGAATACCACGGACTGGCAGTAAAACACCCCTCATTTATTTTCTTACAGCTCTTCAGGGACATGATTTTCTAGCTCTGGCGTGGAAGTCAGGGAGTCAGCAAGAGTGGGTTCTGGGAGTGGGGGACAGCTCTAGTCCTGGAGTGCCGGTGGCAAGCTTTGTGTAGTATCATTAGGTGGGCGAAGGCGGCAG